CCCCAAAACCCCAAAACCCCAAAACCCCACCTCCACATCTAAAAATTGAACAGTACAAAATCCCCAGTTAAACTTCCTTTCCCAGTGGTTACTCTCTTCCTTAAGAAAAGTTATACGTAGAATGCTGAAAAATAGGTAGTGAGAATTTGATGATAGTATCTGGGAAGATATTAATTTGAGTTTATTATCTCATTTTAGGGTATAAAATATTAATAATTATGAATATGGAGTCACCAAGACATGAAAGTTGGCCGAAAGTAAATAAGAGATATCAGATTGTCAGGAAGTTAGGACAAGGCACTTTTAGTAAGTGAATGGAGAGATCAAAGAAAGGAATTAAATAAGATTTAGAATTTTTAGAAAATCCGACTTTGGAGAGGGTTTAGCGGGAATTAGAGATCTAATTTGAATTTGGAATTGAATTTTGGACCAAATGTGTGATTTTGGATTACTGTGGGGATTTGTGTTCATTGCTTTGTAGGCACTGTTTATGAAGCCAGAGACAGAATAAGAGCAATAGATGTCGCATTGAAGGTTGAAAAGAATCGGAGAAGAAGCAGAGTAAGTTCAAATTATTTATTTATAGAACGGAACTGGAATATTAAACTTCGAGTTCAAAGTTATGACTGCTTTACAATGTAAGTGACTAAAATTACAATTATCTTGGAATCTTAAAACATTTTCGTACTCTTTGTCAAATATAACAAAAATTTTCCTAAATTATTCCAAGCCATCAAATATTGAATTCTTATTTTCTGGAAATAATAAAATTTATAGGAAAAACACATGTCCCAAGAGTGTTTGAGTATGTTGTCAATGAGCCTGATGAAGACGATTACATAGGTAAATAAAAAATCATTATTATATAGCAATGGAACTTCTAGGTCCAAATTTGACTAAAGTTAAATAAGAGCTTCCAACGAGGATTTAGTCAAGGTTATGCCACTCGACTTCTGATGCAGATGTTGGAAGGTATCCAACAAGTCCATGAAAAGGGATTTATTCACAGAGATATAAAAGCGTCGAATTTCCTACTTGGAGATGATAATCGAGTTGTTCTTGCAGATTTTGGTCTTGCAAAAGTTCACTTAAATCAGAGGAATGGGAAGCCACTGACTCCAAGAGATCAAGTCGATTTCAGAGGCACGATCTCTTTCGCTAGCCTTAACGCTCATTATTGTAAAGAGCTTTCTAGAAGAGATGATTTATGGAGCTGGTATTTCGTCTTGCTTGATTTTTACGGTGAAACTCTAAAATGGAGAAAAGAAAGAGATAACACTATGTCACAAGTTCAATGCATTTAAGGAAGAAGCTCTTGCAGAGCCCGAAAAATATCTTTGGAGTAGTAAGACTGACGAGGTGCCCCAAATCAAAGAAATTTTTTATCACATTAAAGGTATGACTTACAAATTTATTCTTTAGGCCTCGGGTACGATGATACTCCAGATTATGATCTTCTTTTTCAGATATTAATAAATATCCTTGCTCATGTAGAATTTAAAGCGCGACATGTAGCATTTGATGGATTTTTAAGAAGCTTTAAAGCAACTAATAATATGCCAGTTACTATTCATTCTGGAAATTCTGGTCCAAAATAACCCTCAATTAAACTTAGAAACACTTGGTACTACTACAGGAGCTTTAGAAAACTTTGCACACTCATCCTCGGTTGGACAATTTAAGGTGGAAAATATTGTAGAGGACAACTTAGATACTGCAGAATACTCATGAGTCCCAATTGATGATAGTCTTGCAAGAATACAGAAGTTTGTGATCGACCAATGATTTTATCCTGATGTTCCTCAATGTAACCAGTAAGCATTAACTAAATTTGGGAAGATTTAACCTTCTATGTATAGATTCAGAATTACTCAAAACTTACATGTATCTATTCGTACTGAGAAAATCGATGCTTTTGAAGATGAATTCTTCAAGATCTTCTATTCTCTCTACCAGGTACTATATTTTTTAATATTCTATAGCTAAAGAACGCTCCAAGGACACACTCTCTATCTATTTCAGACGGTAGCGAAGAAGATTATGAAATTTGTGAAGGGCTGGGAGAACTCTACTATGAAAACAACCATAAAATGAATAATAAGATGCTATATCCTCTACCAAGTGATTATCCTCTAACCGGGATTTCAACGGTTTCAAATTTTGACGGATCAATTCAGAATTCCAAAATGGATCCTAACCTGATACCGAACCCTTCTAAATGGGTAGTCCCACCTCTACAGATCTTCCAGCCTGAAAATCACCCAAATGCTTCTGTAAACTTTCCGGTGATAGGTAAGTTGCTTTTAACACCTTGTTCTCTAACATTAAGGTGTTAAGGCAAAATTGATTTCCTTTTGAGACAAATCATTTTCTTCCAGATAGCCCAAATTTACACTGCAAATTCTTAGCCTTCAGGCCATTTATATATTTCCTGGCTGTAGTACTTGAAAAGTTCATTAAAATAGTATTGATCTAGCAAATAAATAGGGTTAACTATACCACCATTTGCAAAATTTAACCAAACCAGATTTATTCCACTATAAAGAGCAATCTTTTGGGCCTCAGTTAAACCTTTTGCACAGTTAACGTTTAATTCTTCTTTGTGAAAACACATATTTCGAAGAAAATAATTGCTCAGCATTTCTTGACCATACCTTAGCACTGGAAATCATCAGGAGTACTTTATTCACTAGTCTGTATTTTTGAGTAAAATAACACAAATTCTGGATTTTGGGGTTTAAGATATATCTTTTGCGTACCTTTACGGGACCAGAATTCGCTAACATTTTAGAAGAAATTGTGGAGAATAACTCTGAAGGGAAAAAGTCCGTCCCTGACCAAGAGAGTTCTAGTGAAGAGTACAAGGTCGAAGAGGATGAAATTGAAGAACTGAGTGTAAGTTTAGCATATCGGAAGGTATTGAGTTGTAGATTTGCTAGATTATCCTGGGTTTATATAGTTAGTCTGGGAATTTATAGCGATAGGTATGAAAGTATAAAAGTTTCAAACCGTTTAATGGAAGATACAAATGATGAGAGAATGTATTGTATATTTTGACAATCTTTATGGTTAAAAATTTTGTAGCCCAAGTTTGGTCTATTTCCAATTTTACCTATGTTTTGCAATCCTCAAATTCATTTTAGGATATAATAATAGAGCCGAACAGGAAACAGACCAGGAATAAGAAAAGAAGGAAGCAAGCTGCTCAGAGGAACTCAATGTGTGGAGCCAAAAGGAAAAGAGGTAAGAAGCATGATCTAAATAATTCAGAGTTGAAAAAGATCGAAAAGGATATTCCCTACTCTCCAGTTACAATAAAATGTGACTATTCGCCTAAATCAAGAAGAGAAGTAGATCCTAGCCGACAAGTATGTCCTAAAAGGACTAGAAAAACCATAATTGACCTTGATGATTAATTTATATTATTTCAATAAATATCCTAACTGAAGGGGTTTTGGGGTTTTGGGGTTTTGGGGTTTTGGGG